AAAGACTAAATGGAGTTTTAGGTGCATGCTGGCATTTGCTGGACATAGCTACATGCAGAACATGAATGCAAACTAATACCAGAAAGGTTGACGCATTCAGACCTGAAAATAACTGTTATGTTTTAGTATCTCGAATTCTCAGTGCATGAATTATCATCTATGTCTTCACATGAGCAAGGTGAGATGCTACAAACAAGGTGGATGTAAAAGGTGCTTTCTCTGTTTCTCTGGCTTCAGTTTGTGCAGTTATATCCTCTTTTTTTAATGACTTTTTTCCTTCCTGGAATGGTTGGGATGTCTTGCTGCTGTGTGCTGATCAGAAGGAAGAAGATACAATGAAACATGATTTGTTAAAATAAATGAAGCCACAGTCTTTTTATTGGTTGATAATATTGTTCTGTATATAAAACTCTTCCGCAAAGTGCAGCAAATTGATTTCTCAGAACTAGTTTAGTTCAAATCTGAAAAGGCATCTTAGTTAATAAGTGTTAATACCTTATTACTAAAAGAATATCTTTATTTTAATTTAATTGCATTCATTGTGTTTAGAAGGGCAATTCTAAAATTGCAATAATTTATTTTTTATTCAAAAGAACCAGAAAGAAAATCCAAACAATGTTATCTCAACTGCAGTGCTTGCCTGTCTCAGGGGTTTCATCCTCACTCAGGCGAAGCACCGACAGCAGACAGCCCTCGGTAATGTCTTCTCAGAAATGAAGTGCACTCCCTAATAAAAGGCTGCCCCAGTACAATGAAAAGCAAAGCAATTCCTGAAACATGCAGTTTACCACATCAATTAAATTCAAAGTGAGAACTTTTGTTTTTTGCTCCACAAAAACCATCTTTTAGGTTCTATTTTGTAAATAGATATGTATTCAGTTTCTTAATTTAAGTGGAATTTATCCATCAGCTTTAGAGAACATTCGTGCACTGTAAAGGATCCTCATTGGTTGCATTTGGACTTGGGCGTCGAGTTACAGTCAATTCTGTATTATTTTCTTTTTATTGTTTTGTATTAAAGAGCTGTTGTTCAATGTAGGAGTTTTACAAAACGAGATTTACCAGCAAAAGTCTTTACAGACTTTTAACTGGACTTCCTCTTTGTTGCTTCCTTTAACTACATCACTGTAAATTCTGGTTGTTCAGGTCTATTTCAGTGCCACTTCCCTTTTGTAAAGACTCTGTGAATAGTAAATTAGTGTGAAATGAATAAGGTATACAACTGAAACCCGATCTATACAAAGAAACATTAGGTCAGACTAAACTTTTCCTGTTTTACATCCGGGAAGGAAAGAGATTTTTTTTGCAGTCTTTTTGCTCACCGTTTAGATCAGGGGGTATGCAACCTGCAGCTCCAGAGCTGCATGTGGCTCATTAGATCCTTCAGTGTGGCCCTAACCAAAAAAAAAAAAAAAAAAAAATGTTCATTTAAGAAGACAATAAAAAAAGATTTATCTTGTTTTAAAGAAATTTAAGTAGAGAAAATCTACAACACCACTGCAATAGAAGGACAAGGCTTATAAAAGGAATTTAACACCTTAAACTTTAGATGTTTTTATATATTCATGTTGGCTAAATATCGTTCCTTTTCTTTCATATCTATAGTGTCCCAGTCAACAGAACAAAAGCTTTATTTGGGTTTTTTTTCTTCTCTTTTTGTAAATGTAAAATGACCCTTTTTACCTTAAATTCTAAAAATAGAAAATCATAATTTAATTTCCTGGACTTTTAATATTCAGAAAATCTTGACAAATCTTATTTTGTTTCCTTGATTTTAAAGTGGCTCTTTGAGTTGAAAGAGTTGCAGACCCCTGCTTTAGAGCACTGAGATGATATAATGACCTTTGTGACATTTGCAATAAAATAGATAATATTACAAGCTAGAGAACATAACAGAAAATTATAGTGGTGGCAGCATCATGATGCAATATGTGTATGTAGCTCAACAAAGCAGTTCTACACAACTGACTCTGGTACAACACCTCAAAATGAGGAAAAAAAAAAATATATATATATATTTCTTTGCAGTATTTCCTGCTCACCCTTTAGAGCAGAAAAAATTCCAGCAAACTATGATGAAAAACCTTAATAGGCTAATTTACCATAAAGGATAAAAAAAAATGCAGAGAGAAAAGGTAGGACTAACGTAATGTCTGACAGTATAAATAAAGGGATAAAGAGCCTTTCTTAAAAGTGTGTACATGTATTAAGTTTCATCTACATTAAGTAAAAGCTTAACTCCTTAAATACATTTTGAACTTCCTCTAGGATTTCTAAGTAAACTTGATGAAGAGCTTTTGACTGCCCATCATGCATCTGCATAGCGTATGACTTACAGAGTCTGCAAATACTTTTAGACTAAATAAGACATCAAGCTAAGCTGCTACCTGCTGCCATCAGGCTCTACCGCAGCTTTGACATGTAAGATACAGCAGCAGCTCCTTGGAGTAACCATGGCAACTAATAGGAAGCTTTGAGACAGCTAATGTGTATATATTTATCTGCATATAGAGACTGAATTATCATTGAGTTTTTCAACCAAACAGCTCTCATACAGTCTAGAACAGTTTAGTATATCATCTCTGATACACATAATAGGAAGTTGCAGAGCAGGCAGTGGTAACAGAGCTAATTTAGCGACTCGAGGTCTTTAGCTGTAGATACTTTCAGGCTCGTATGATGAAAACTGTGAAAGCAAGTTCCCCTTTAGCACCCTGAAAGAGTGGAGTGGATTCAATCTGACTGTGAAGCTCTTTTGAAGGAGGAACTGGTAAAAGGCTGTGACTCAACATGTTTCAGGTTTTTGTGTTTCTTTACATTGATCTTACATGGGAGTATTATGCAAATAGTATGTAGGTTACCGCTTATTACATACAGTGCCTTGTAAAACTGATTATCCTCTTGAACATTTTTTCAAATTCTGTCTTGTTACAGTCACAAAATCTACAAGTTAAAAATTGAAAAGTAGGGGATAAATGTTAAATCGCCTCAAAAGGTTTCACCTTTATCTAGAAGATTTTACATATACTTAAGTTAAAACTTATAATAAATAAAACTGTTCTATGAAAGTTTCAGATCATAAAACTATAAGCTAACCTTTGACCCTCTCACAGACCACTGCTTAGAAAATCAGTCCTGAATGGAAAGCATTTGGCACAGCAGTAAACCTTCATGTCCTCCTGAACTGACAGACCAGGAAATGAGAGCATTGATCACAGAAGCATCTAATCGCCATAGTAACATTATGGGCAAACCCCCCCATAAAATCCTAAAACCTGCACCAAGGGATGCAATGCATTCATTTGCATTCAGTGGTTTAAAAATGAGAGTTTAAAGTCCTACTTTTAGAACTGCTGCTTAAACAACCTCCATGCAAATCTGTCTGAGTTTGAGCTATTTCGTAAAAAAGAATCCATGCCTGCACGTCTGCAGACTATGGATTACAAACCCACACCAAAACTGTTTTTTTTGCCAGAAAAATTTGAAAGATTTATAAGGCTAAAATAATCGGACTAATCGTAATTAATCAAATATTGAAATAATAGTCAACTAATTTAGTAATCTATTAATCATTAACTAAAGGATAAATAAATAAATAAATAAAATAAAGATGCCATTAGAGAAAATAAAGCAAGATGCCATTAGAGATACAAATGCAACAGACAATATAAAAAGTGTGTATAGTACAAAAGAGCATAAAAACAGATTGTTCTATTGTTGATATAAAAATATCTGCACCGTAGAGAGCTAAGGAAAGACTACACAGTAGTTGACTTGGATTAATATCACATTAATTAGTATTAATATTATAGAATATTATAATGTGACTGGAGTATATAGACTCTAAAACGTGCCTTTAGCTGACAGAGCAACCCACTTAGAACAGTAATTATATCAAAATTTTAAAACAACATATATTCATTTTGCATTTAAGATAAAAAGAAGCTTTTTTGTCTGTCAATATTCTCTATCCACAACTCCTTAAGTGGAGAACTTTGAGTTTCTCCTGGTTTCATTCAGTAAAAAGTCTTTTAGAATCTTTGGCTATCCGATTATTAATCGATTAATCGAAAAAGTAAACAACAGATTTGCAAAATAATCATTAGTTGCAGCCCTAAAGATTTTTAATTTTCTTTCCACTTTATAGTCCTGAAATACTTTGTTTTGACCTACTGTATGAGATTTGATCTGTAAAAACTTCAAGGTGGTGTGAATATTTCTGTACAAGTGGTGTACTGAGAGTGCATAATGCTCCTGTTTGGATGTTGTTACTCTGCAGTATGAGCACTAAAGCTACTGAACCACATTACAACATTTGTATCTTTAGGCCAAAGCACTTATAATCATGTCAATTGAGTCAACCTATTAATCTTTAACTTGGGAGATAGTAGGTGTGACAGTTTCTCTCTCTGCAATAAATTCCTGTAGGATTTGCTACAAAGCTAAACCTAAGCTTGAGTCATATATTTGCATTTTTGCCAGACTCTTTCCTATCCTTTATAAAATAAATTTGTTCAATAGCCCAACCAAATAGCTTTTCCTTTTAGCAAAAGTAACCATTTCCTCTGTTTTTTTTCTAGAAATATTTAGAAATATTTGCAGTGTATTTTATTGATGTCAAATTAAGATATTTTGTTTTAGATCTATGATCTAAATTGGTGGTTTATTTCCATGAAAGAACAAAGCAGAGAGGATTTCTGCTTTTGTGTCCTTTCAGGCGTAATAAATGTTACCAAGTATTATTTTCAGCGCTATAATGATTCTTTCCAAAGCACTCCCACAAGGTCAATATGCACTCTAACTCAATTCACGCTAAAGGATATGCTAGTTTTGTACACTTTTTCTCAATTAATATCACTTTTGTATAAAAATGACTATTTTATGAGGGTAGCAACCAAATCAGCCAAAGCAAACCAGCATTTTGCTACCAGTTGTTTTCAGCTCTGTTTTTTTATATGTTTGATGTGCATTTCATTTTATGCTGTTTTCTTCCTTACTAGTATTGTTTCTGACTGCCACAACAAGAAGATGCCACTGGGTGAGGACGGACACGCCTGGAAAAAGAAGACCTCGGATGTCAAGGAGAAATATGATTTTAAAGACATTCTGGGAACGTAAGTGTGCTTTTACCAGCAGCAAAATATGATTTTGTGGCAGATTTGACTAAATATATATGTTTTTTAAATATAGGTATCTGCAGTGGCAGTTTTAAATGAAATTCACTGGGTGGGGGTATTTCTTCATGGTGGTTGTGAGGGAACAAACTTACCGGTACATAAGGACAAAAGGTGTTCAAAAATTGTGGTCAGTGGTGTAGGTACCAGATCTGCTTGGGCCCTACGCATGCCAGTGACATTGCGATATATGATTGGCTGAACATTGCTAAACGTTGAAGAACATTGGTCTTCCAACATTGGTTTTCCAAGCCAAGGACCCTCAAACTGATGGCGAGATGGAGCGGGGACCCCCTAATTATATATATTGTATGAAATTGTGTTATATCAAAATGGTCCTATAGTCACTCTATTACAGAGTAATGTAATGAAAGTAATGTCTCCCTGGGATTATTAAAATATTTCTGATTCTGATTCCTCGTTGATGGGATAGGTTTTGTGAATGAAGCTGTGTCCAGCTTGAAAGAGCTCCTGTGTGTCGCTGAATGTGTGCTTTGATGACTGAAAGACATCTTCTGCCTCCATTTATCTGTTTTCTACAATCTGTTGAATTTATGTTAATCTGTATTTAAAGACATTTAAATTAGTGGAAGAAATTGCAGGGGGGAATATAAAAAAAATAAAAAAATCAACCAAAGATTTTGAGACACTCATGCAGTATCTCCGTGGACCCCCTAGGGGTCACAGACCCCCTGTTGAAGACCTCTAATGTAAAACATAGTTGTTTGCCAAGACAAGGATAATAACATAATGCAGCATCCGTGTACCAAGTCGGGAGCCTCTGTAGTGTTAGCGGGTCTAATGACCGATGAAGTTTAACCTAACAGGTTAGCCTATTTTAGCTCAGTCAGTTAGCCATATTAAGCTACCGTAGTCTACTTTTAACTTTGTGTCAACAACAACCATTTGTTTTCTACAAATAGAGTAACTCTTGCTTTCTATGTCTAAAATATGGCAACAATATGTCTTTTAGTGTAAGTGAACCACAAAGACTCCTGATCTTAATATGGCTGAAGCTTAAAGCTGAGTGTGATTTCTAAAAATAAATGACCAAAATATTAAATTGGTCTAATGGACAAAAACTGGTCTAAAAAAGGAATCTTTT